TTTTTTTATTATTTATTATTATTATCAATATTATTTCTTTTTTTTTTCATTATTATTTTTTATAATTGAAATAAGGCTATTATTATTTTTTCATTACTTTATTATTATATCATTATTATTATTATTAGTAGTAGTATTATTATAACTGCATATAGCATGATCTTTTAGTGTATATAGATATATAAGTTCCATTGCTTTCAAATTAATTCCTTTTTCTTGTATAATATTTGATATATCATGCTATTGATTTCCTATTACTGTACTATAATAATAATTTATTCGCAAACTACACTTTTGAAACAGTGGCACACTTCACATGATAAGGGTGCATCCAAAAATAAAAGTAAACATGAGAAAAACGGCAACTTCAAACAGAATACAGCACACTAAAGAAAACAAAGCTTAAAAAATGAGTAAATGTCACTCAAGCATTTGACAAGCCACCCCCCCCCCCATCCAACACCCACCCTCATCAAAGTATTATATGAAATGATGCCTCAATAAAGCGAAATGACAGACGAAATGGCCATGTCAATTCCCTGAGTGACCTTATTCAATTAAAAATAAATATATATAATACGAAGTAAACAAAACTTAAAACTAAAAATTCTAAATGCAGTAAATGACAAAAAGGAAAATGAATTAAACTTGAAAACAAATACAGTAAATTAAAATTTAAAAACAACAAAGATGTTCAGAAAATATAATATATACCGAATACCCTGAAAGCAAACATTTCCCTCATCTATAACATGTTCATCTTCCTCACGAGAGCACAAAATCTACTCTCACCCCAGTGACCACCCCCTCCCAACCCATAGAGTTAAATGTGAAAATACTTCAAATGTCTCCCTCCCAATGAGTATCTGTAAACGAACAATTATACGGAAGGGACCACAACATATCTGTTTTACTCGATAGGGGAGGTTATCCTATTGATGACCCTGCATTCGGAAAGAGTGCTCTTGGCGTTCGATTTATTGGACTTAAATCGCATCCATCCTTCTTCTTTGAAAATGGAAAGAAACTGAATCAGGGCGGTGATGTATTGCCATTGTATGTACATAGAATCATTGGACTCTTGGGTAAACCACACATTTCATAGCTTATACTTAGACTGTACCATAATTCGACCCTGGTCCGTTGACCTTTTTATGGCCTTGTTGTCGGGGAAACCATCAATGCACAGAACCCCTGACTCAAATTGCATTCCGTTTTCAAATTGCAAAATTCTTTTTTAAACGAGAGTGAATGCGCCTTTTGTTAAATTCATCGTTGAATAAATAAGTGTTACGTATTTTGGCATGTTTTCGTGTTTGACTTGGATTTTAATAGTCTTCGAATTCCCTCCCTTTCTAAGCCGTAGGCCTATAGGCCTATTATGTGAAAAATACGCAATTATAATATTAGTTACATGGGTAATGGGTAAACCCAGGTAAACCGCGACGGTATTGGAAAGATAAGACATATCTGATTGACTGCTTCCGTAAACTGTCAATCAACGATACTCTCTTGATCTTCTGTCAGTTGATGCGATTTGGTGTTGGGGGAGGCGACGTTAAGGAGAGGAGGGGACAATGTTTCAATTTTATTATATCACCTTTAATTATCTTTATATTTTTAATTTTGTTATATGTTATGTTACTGAGGTTGTTATTTTAAGGAACTGTTAAAGTTGCCGTTACAGTTGTCGTTGGGATTGTTGTTAGAAAGGTCCGAGTTGGTTTGGTTTAAGATTGGAAGTTCTTGTTAGGCCTAAGGGTTACAGTATTCTAAGCTGATTCCTTTTATGAAATAGACTAAAGCGTAGTCTTTTGGAAGACATTTAGCCGTTGGTCCCGGTCCCGTGATGCGGCGTATACGACGAACACTAATCACTGTGTAGGCCTACCATGAGTTATTGCAGGGGCGGGGTGGGTGTGTGGCAAAAAAAAATTCCACAGTATGATATGCCTAGTCGTAAAATAAAATGAAAACTCATTTCATGGGCAGTTCAATAATCAACTACGAAGTTTACTGCGCATGCTTATGAACTATGAGCAACAATTCATGATTCGCACTATTGGGCGGACTGCATAAAACTGCAACCCTAATAAAAGAGTACAAACATTTTTTTTTGTTCTTCCAAATTTGCGTCTTTATACAAACATACTGTAGGCCTATATTCAGACAAAATCATTGAGTAAACATTAATATCTGCCACTTCGGAAGTCTTTTACAGTGTCATCTCGATATGTTTGCAAAGCCCTAGGATTACGTAGGTCTACAATAACTCCACGTGAGGTATTACAAGCATGATCGATATTTGTTAGTAAGATGAAATAAACATGATCAGGGTGATCAGGGGTGATTCACATTCACTACACCAGTCAAAACAAAAGATTGTGCACCGACCTACATAGGCGTGACACGACAAATCGTACGTGCAGAGATACACCTGGCCTACTACACATAGATGTTCATTATTATTTTAGGGCCTATTGTAAATATTATTATTGTTATTATTGTTACTATCCTTATTATACGTGTGGTTGCTACAAAGGTTATGGTACCGTATTTCATTGCTTGCGAATCATACACGATGAGTCGATAGTCGCATAAGGGCCTATTTCGGCCAATTTAGCGTTTAATCACATTCGCAATAAACGACGATAAGTCCGGCGGACAAAAGTACGCTGCTACGAATTTTAATCTTGACAACGGTTATGTTAAGAAGGATGCAACGCCATAACTACAGATAAGCGCACAGGTGATTTCTTTGTGTGCCGCTATTAGCTGTATACCAGAAATTAATTTCAGATAAATGGTTATGACGTAGGTGAATCTTTAAAGCGGTGGCCGTACACTCATAAAATGACATTGGCACGTTTAAGTACATGTACATTCGCCGAACGTCATCAACGCCAGCGCATTGATATTGGCCTATATGCCCGTAAATCATATCCAAAAAAAAAAACAGTGTAGTTATAGTTTGGTGCATTGATTACCGGTACAATATCCTGAATAAATACGTATTGCCAATAATCATCTGATGAATTCTGTTACTGATTCGTTTTCTCCTTGATTTCGATACAGTTCGTACTCCTCCGATTTGAGAGGAACTTTGAGAAGTAATATCGAGTTCGGTCTCCAGTTAAGGGATGGTTTTGTGTTAACAAATTGAAAGTGGGTAGGCCTACTTGGTTCTTCGAAAAAGTGGTCTCGAATTAGACGTGTCTGAGAATTGCAGGGAGTCTCAAATTGGAGGGTGCACATGCGCAAGTATAATGGAAGTAGTGAGAGAGTCAATCGATTGTAGGCCTATAACGCGCGCATCGCGTGGCCAATATCCAAAAATAGAGCTTGAGATTCCTACATTTTCAAAGAATGAATATTGTCTAGGCCTATTCATTAAAAAGCTGCTTTAATCAAACGGTTTGAATAATCGATATTAAGCCAAAAAAAAATAAGTAAACTACTTCAGTAGACGTAGACCCATTATTATCCCTAAGTACTTTCAAGGATGTGATATTGATTCTGTCATTAACAAATGAAAGGCTAGACTACAAAAATCATTTTCAATATAAGAGTACTGTCCACGTTTCAATTCGTAAACAGATTTAATGTTCAAGTGTCTGTAACAATTAAATTATAGGCCTATTTGTTATGGAAACTCGAGTTAAAAATACAATTATAATTCATTTTTATAGCTCAGTTGGTAGGGCATCCGAACGGTAATCGGAAGGCCTTGGGTTCGAATCCCGAAGGGGACATACGTTCTTCTCAAATATTTGTCATTTTTTATATCACCAGTGGAGGTGTATTTCTATACCAAAGTTAATATGAATTTATAATTCATTGTCCTACTTTTAATTTATTAATCTCATTACTTAATTATTACCTGTTAATAATTGTACGTTGTAGTAACGTTGCAGTTTGTTATTCATTTTGTTTTGTACAATCATAAAAATGTAATTATAACGTAATTTCCGACTAAATTATGCTGCAGACGTTGTTGCAACGTTGTTTTAACGTTATTAGAGTTCACAAGTTACGAAAAAGATAACGAATACTGTTACCGGTACGTCACCAATTTGTCGTCTATATCCATCCCACACACAGTAGCATAATTATCTGTCACAACATACCGGTAGGCAATACATGACTTTTACATGAATCAACGATCATCTTCAGTTCGTATATGCTTTGTTTAAGAATGTTTGATGCACGATTGACGACAATGATAATGACGTATTCCTTATCGTTTTTGTTGCGAAATCTCCCTATTTTTTCACATAACCAAATGACAAGGCATAAAAGAACTTTTAGTGTTTTCTGAGTAATTTGGAGTTTCTAACTTGGCACGTAATGGGTGTCGTCACAAGTCAAAACAACGTGTCTTTAGCAGTGCACGGTGTTTGTTTCTCGCCATAGGTTCTGATTTAGAAACACTCGTCATTCTGGTAACTGGGTTAGTTAAGTTAGTTAATAGTTAACTTAGTTCAGATGTTCTATAGTTAACCGCTAACACTTTTCCCCTTCATCTTGCCATAATAAAAATAGTGCTGTATATTGTAGTGCTATAGGCATATTTCTTCTAAATTTGCCTAAATAATAACATTATTAGTCTATCAAGTTAATTGACTTAATTGTTCAAAACTTGCAATCTTGACTTTAAAGCCGTAATTCTGTGTAATAGGCCCATTCCGTGCACTGAGTGCCATAATTCGAGAAAAAAAAAAAGGAAAAAAAAAAAAGAAATGACATCCACACGGCCGGCGTATATTGAGTGCGTAGTACGCGCAATGACGTGACTTGATGAAATTGTAGATTCAAAGAAGCTTCAATAAAAGAAATAAATAAAATCAAACGTAGAATCGGTGCTTACATTGTATGCATCATCATGTGCGATATATAACAACTATCGGATCCAAACGATCATGTTTTACAAGTTAATCAAGCTGTCTTTAAAAGTAAGAATTGTCATATTAGCTATAAGTTGAAAAGCGACATTTTCTCTTTTATTCTTGATAAACGCCATATACTGTTGCAACTGCATAAATAGATCCGTTTTTGTAGGAATGTTCGGCAAATGTGTCAAATTTATCATTCCATATACATTGACTGGCGGTACATAGCGTTGCTCCGGCCACCGATCCAATAGATACCACAACTACAAGCTTATACCTAGGGTAGCCAAGATCCTTCACTCGATTCTTAATCTTGTCAGATAGTTCCCGGCAAAGATTGTTGCATTTCTCCGGGTCGTAAGTCTCTGATTCTAACCGCTGTTTGAGTATGCCGTCCAATATACACTTGGCTTGATGAGAAACGAAAACTCGATCTGGTTCCATTTTATAAGTGTGTTCATACTTAATCTGGGGGCCTCTTATTGCCTGGCTGCGCTCAGTTCGTTGCGTCGACGCCGAGTATTTACTCCCCGCTACCTGAGTCATTGTGGTAGTGTCTCGAAACAGGTGTGAAAAGGGGGAAATGATATTAAAATATGTATTTGAAATGCGGAAAAGCGATTGCCGGTTGTATTGATCAAGCTCTTGACGTACCGTGTTGTCTGTTTAACCCTTGAGAGCGCGGCTTGTACAGCCAACTGTCCTGTAGAGTTGCTCAAATCGTCTGCGTCGAGTGTCGTCGACCAATAGACTTTGTTTTCAACATAATAAATCAATATCTTAAGGTATTGATATTTTGGGAGCTTGTCACACGCATTCTTTAAATCGGACTTTTCTTAATACACTGCCTCGTTGTTATCAACGTCAAGTACCTGCTTTCTATTTGATGAACAAACTTCATGTTGACGAACAGATGGAACTTTAGTATTATGGCCCAACGCATTGTTGTAGATACAAAAGAAACCCACTACAGGATTATTTTCAGCGAAGTATATAAAGCGGGTAAATTGATTACTTAAAAACGGATACAATAAAACTTAGAAAGCCAATATGTTACTAACTTTACTTGACTAACGCTCAGACAAACAATACGATACCGAGTGACCGGGCCGATGATTTACAGTAGGACGTAGAGTAGGCAATACTATGAGGCTTAAAACAGCAAAATATTA